CCTCTTCTTCTTCTTCTTCTTTTATCTCTCTCTTGTTCGACCACCACCACCTGGTTTGTGTTATTGATTGTTTAAGTTTTATGCATACAAAAATCAACTGGGATCAATACACTTCTCCTGGATTCCGAGTTGTATGTTAAAAATTAAGTCAATTTGTTTGAAGGCATGGGTTCAAAAGCTCAAGTAGTAAAATAAAGATTTTAATTCTTAATTAAATATATTGTCTTCAATCTTTCGAGAGAGGTGTGGGTTTTCAATCTAATTTAGGGAGATTTGGTAGATTGGGAATTTGGGGACAACATATCTCAACTCGTCTCAGAGTGGGGTGGGTCGGGAAGGAGAGAGAGCTTTTTTTCTCTTTTTAAAATTTTATTTTATTTTTTGGTTTTAAATACTTTAAAATATTAAAATTAAAGAGTTGACCATAGTTATAACAATGGACATGCGTCAAGTCTTAAGGATGGTGTACATATTGGGGTACACAATTCAATATATCCTTTTTGGTCATTTTATATTAGGGTAAATTAGTAATTCAATAAATAGTTTGATAGTAGGGTGTACTCAATTAATTTTAGGGTTCGTTTAGCAGCACTCTATATATATATTATTCAATCTCAATATTAGCCGGTCAATGAAAAACACTTAGGGCCAGTTTGGCATTGCTGTGCTGTGAAAATAATCTCTGTCAGATTTGCTGTGAGAAAAATCAGCTGTAAGAGAAAGCAGTTTGGCGTTTGGTAAAATTTTTGTTGAAAGTGTTGTTGGTATTACTTTCCGCAAAATCAGAAAATGATTGCCGCATAATCATTAAACCCAACGCCTCTTCAAAACTGATTCCTGCATAATCAGAAAATGAAAGCACCTCATTAGCTGCTTTCTCTTATAGCTTTCTCTCACAGCAATTTTTAAAAATAAGTGATTTTCTCACAGTTTACCAAACAGGTTGGGCTTCCCAAATTTTTTAAAAAATCACTTATCACCCCAAATAAGCAATGCCAAACGGGCACTTAGAATACCCTCAAGTGATCCCAATCGCTCAATGACTACGTCAATATTATCTTCTTCCTTCTCAATCAACCACCATGCCCAACACAAGAAGACCACCTCCGGGATCCACTAGCTCACTCTAGCGTCTATTGTCGACTTGGATTGACCAACGCCCAGACAAAGCAGAGCGCAAGTCATGTTGGGACAATCGAGTTCGAGGGTGGTCTAGGTGCGAACGACATCGAGGACTCGAGACGGCTAAGGAATTTGCACTGTACGTGGTGCTGGCGTGAATGTCCCAAATTTTTGCCCCAGAGTGGTTGTGGTTTGTTGGAAATTTAATATGATAATATTTATTAGATATTTTAAATTTTAATTTTTAATGTGTGAATGAAAATAATTGTTTTGTTTAAGTATGAAAGGTTGCATCCGATACAATTGAACTAAGTGCAGTTGCATCTTTCCTTTGCATAAGTGGCGTCATTTAGTGAACAATGTTTATGTTTGTTGGAAATTTGGCTCACATTAAGGTTGCAAATGAAGGAGGCAGCGACCGGTCGCAAGGTTTGGGCGACCGGTCGTTTTTGGACAGAGTCGAAGTCTGAAAAATTCGCAGGAAGCGACC